AATTTGGATTCAAGCGATTGTGTTTCTTGCTGCAAGTACTGTGTTTTCCGGATATTTCTGTAAATTTTGTCCAGCAAAAACTGATACCTCACAGTGTAATCAATGTACATAAACAAAGGTTCAGGACGAAATTACAACACGTCCCTAAATTAAAGACGCTGCCTGTCTTGCCTCTCATTCCGGTCCTCATCTTTTCCGCTGCAAATTTCAGCCATTCTTTGACTATCTTTTCAATGTCCGCATCTGTAGCCTTGCCTGTCAGGGCGTTTTACGGTTAGCACCTAGAAAAATGTAGTTTTAGTAATTATTTTATAGTTACTGGAAGTTTAGACATAATACTTAGATCACAGGTGGGCATTCAAACTGAGAATAAAGTGGTGTAAAAGCAGTGCTTGGAGGTTTTTGCAAGCTCACTGGAAACATCAATGTTTGGGTGCGGCCCGCGGTGTTAAATCAAAAATTCACTTTGGCCGTTCGACCGATATTCATGCCAACCCCTGATTTAGATAATATAAAAGTTATTGTTTAATAAAGCAAATGGGAACATATTTGCAAACATACAACAATTAAATACAGTTACAGTAAAATTTATAAGAAATAATTATTTACAAAAAAAGGCCTATGTAAAATTAAAAGTCAATCAATCGTACATTGTATAGTAGTTGAGGTAGTGGATTTATTATTTATTTTAAACACAATAATTATATAATTAACACGTGCTTTCGAGATTACACAAAACAGCAAAAGACAATAAAATGAAATAAATTATACTTATTTACTCCTACTAAAATCATTGATATTATAATTTCTTTTTATTTTCTTTTCCTGTTTTATAATATACAGCAGGTATCAGATGAGGGAGATCAGGAAGCTATTATCAGGCTCTGTGAAACTTACTATTGACTACTTTCCTCAGAGTTAATTTGGCAAAAGCTCACATTTCTCCCTTTTCTGCCTAGTTAAATTGCTTGGAAAAAGAATAAGTCAATTGTTGAATGGTTCCGTGCCTGTAACAAAAGAGTAAAATATTGTAAAACCTTTTTGCAATAGCAATCCCCATGCAAAATATACTTGCGTGGGTCTTCTTTCTGTAACCTGTACCTTGACTTTTTAGCGCTGATGCAGCGGCGCAAAATGAAAAATTAAGGACCTTTAAAGGATAAATATTGAGACTTCTGTTGTGGTGAGCACTATGTTCGCCCCTATCTGGAATCCACATCCATCCTGTATGTGCTAATTAGATCCCCCAATATTACTATTTATATTATCTTGTGGTAGACCAAATAGAATTATTCGGTCAATCTTATCTAATATTTATTTTTGACTTAAATTTTCCTTTTTTAACTTATATGTTTATATTTGATTTAAAGGACATTGCATTTAAAAGGCTTATCCTTCTGCAATGTCCCCTTTTTGACTATTCACGGTGCTCTTTGTACATTTTTATTTTGTTCAATATATATTGTAACTTGCTGTAAATGTGTGGAAATAAAGATGATTTGAATTGATATTGAATTGAAAGACAGCAGTTGAATTATGAATAATTTATGACAATCCTGTTTTAATTACTATTATGCAGGCTTTAGTTTAAATTTACTTTAGATCAATTAACAAGGAGAAATGAGAACTTTAGGGTTTCTACATATTTATCATTTTATGATTATCCTACTAGTACTACAGTACATATTTAATTATAACACTGTAGCCTCGGATTCAATAACATACATAAATAAAAACAGAAGTCGCTTTAAAGGTCAAATTACCACGGACACACTAGTAGATACCGAAGCATTAGTATTATTGTTACTATAATATTCCGCTTCGAGGCCCATTTCTTCCACAGAAACATAAGTATTATTAATATTATTGCCATTATTGTTATTACAAGGCCTACTACTACCACAATTAATAATAATTCAGACTTCTCAAGTAGTAAAATGCATTTCCGTAACCATGTCTTCTAGTTTCCGTAGTAAATGAAAAATTCCGTAGCACCTGATGATTTATGGGCCACTTTTCTTTGGTTTTCAATAATTTATCAGTAATCTGACAGGTCCGTAGGGACGATGTAGCAAATGGTTCTGATGAAAAAAATATCATCATACTCGACTTTCAACAATATGTAAACCTGTATATTTCTGGCCTAGCCAAAAATAAATTTCAGTAGTGTGTGTTTATTTCCGTAAACGTCCAAAATTGGGAAAAAATTCCGTAGCAACTACGGACGTTCAATAGAGCTTGAGAATTCTGTAATTGGCCTGCTAGACTCCTAGGCTAGTACTCGGGCAAAAAGTAGGCCTAGACTAGTTCTATTAGTTGGAGTAGTAGGAAAAGTGGGCATATAGGCCAGGTTGGAATTTTGTAGCAGCCTAGTAGTAGAAGACGTCGTCAGAAGCTATTGAAGAAACTTTTATTTGAGGGAAGGACTCTAATAGGATACATTATTGCAAAGGCATCATCTTACTTGTCATGAGGCCCTAGGCTACTTTCACAAACAATTAGAATAGATATACATGTGATAGAACAGAGTAGGCCCAGGCCCTACTACTAGATTAAGGTAAGTAAAATTGTTTGTAATTTGGCTTCTTTAAGTTTACTTCACCAATAATATACATTTAGCATAAATAAATAATAGGTAGGCTAGGGCCTAGAGAGGGATGTCCTTATCCTTATAAGGTGAATATATTAGGGAAAAATGTTGCTTAAATATAAATATTTAGAAACAGTAACATTATGATGTCCTAATTTTTTAACAACCACTCTATAATGGTGGTAACTGAAAATACTCCTCTAACGTTGGTGGGTCTACCCCAAAGACAGATGTTGTGACCGAGCCATAAAGAATTGTGTGTGCATTAATTTGTGAGGAGGGCACACACAAGGTAGATTTTGCCCACGGCACTCAGATTCATTTTTAGATTTTTTTTTTTTAATCTGGAAAACTTGAAATAATTTACCACCTCATTAAATGTCCACTCTCCGCTGACTCTAACAAAACTTATGTTAGCATTGTATTGTTCCTGAAGTTCCTGTAAGATGATTTCCTTTAAATGGGCCTTGGAGTTGACGTCGTAACGGGTATGCCGGATCACAATATAAGCATAGAGTAGGACCAACTGAATATTGCTGGAGTTTTTGGAGAAGCCCAGAATCTGCAAGCATACCAGTATCATGCCGTTTTCCCAAGAAAGGGCCAGTCATATGAGCAATAAGTCCATTTGGTGTGGCAACAGACTGGAGCTTAATGGCATGAACTCTTTTATGTCCATTGTACATCAATCTTTGTCGTTCTCCTGGACGGCAAATGGGTCTAACTGTCCCATCGATGAATCCTCAGCAGTTGTCAAGTGGAGCACCTTTTGCATGTACTGCATTAGCAAAGTTTTGCAAATTTTGTTGTGCCAGCTAATGTTGATCCAGAGACGTTAATAAGTTATGAAAGTTGTTGTAGATTAATTCCAACACCTCATAAGTTCCCATACACAACTCTGGGACAGAACAGCCAAACATAGGAATTAAGTCTGCATAGCGACACGGATATGCACATCTTCTTAGCAGTGCACATAGTGCTTCTATCCCATCAAATATAGCCCCGTTACGGCGGCGTATTTCACCAGGAATGTGGAAAACTTCATTCAGTTAAAAAATGTCATTCTTCTTGAATCAGAAATGAATTAAATCAAATTCGAAACCATGCATAATGTTGCCATACAGAAAGTGAATTTCACTATGAAAAATAACATTGTTTCTTGTTTTGTGCTTTTTGTAATCCAATTGTGTGTGGGTTAATATTTTTATTGTCATTTATTTGTCAATGTTTTGATATTTAAAATTTTAAAAGACAATTTCTATGTTTGTGGATTTCGTCGACTGATTTATAAAAAAAAAAAAAATATTAGTTAATCACCCTCGCGCATATCTTCTAAGGTACTGAAAAAATAAAAATCATTTTGGGAAAAAATTGTTTGAAAAAAAAAATCAATAACTAACAATATATTTTATTTTAATTTAATTTTTATTTTTTTTAAAATTTAATTGAACAGTTAGGCCTGGACATAGTAGGCCTAGATATCGTTCGTATTTTATATTAATATGTTTTACCAAGGGTGAAATTTGGCAGTACATATTGTTTTTATTCTATCAACCATGTTTTACCAAGGGTGATATTTTTCTTATTTCATTAAAAAAATAAAAAAAAACCTTCACTCATCACTTTTATTTACCATCCAGACTAGCTACATTAGAACAGATAGGGTGATAAACAAACTAATAATAATAAAGATAATATTTTTAGAATAGAGTCTTAGTTGTGTGTGAAAGATAATACATTCGATAAACATATATATAGGCCTAGGCCTAGGCCTAGGCCTAGACTAGCCGTCCTACCGTACTAGGGCCGGCCAGGCCCACAGTGGACTTAGGCCTACGCTAGGGCCTAGGCATAAGATCGACGATCGTTCATGGAGAGGGAAAGATTTACCTAAAGTAGGTTTCACATTCATCGCCTTCCAAATTTTCCAAATTCAACCGATTGTATCGCCAACAAGGTAATGTCAGATTTTTTGACCTATTTAAATCGTATAGAAGAAGTAATTCTTCTTCGTCGATAATATCAAGCGCATATAAAAATTCATTTTGTTGATTTCCTTTCATGTTGATGTTTTGATATTACGTCATCCGCATACGTTCACCAGCCAATTGAAAAATTATTTACCATTCTAGTAGACCGATCTCAACGACTTAAACATTCTAATTTGCATACGGTGTCTTAGCGTTTCCGTCGTGATTTCGAAAAGCCCCTAATGAAGTGGTGTTTGACGGAACTATAGAAGGTTAATAAGATACACGTTTTTTGAATATTTTAATTTTGGGGGACAAGGCGACTACAACATAATTATTTTTTAAATGTCCGAATAATATATGAATAAAAAGAGATGGATGTGTACTTATATTTTTGTACAGTTTATAATTTAAAACCATTGTTAATTTTTCCACTAAAGGTATCTGTTTTGGACTGAATTGGGGAATAAAAATCCCCCAAAAATTGAAAGATCATCAATGTCAGGCGCAAATCGAACAACTATAGTTACAGGGCTGAGCGAGCCGAGATCCATAGCAGTTGATATCACTACCAACAGGTAATGAATGCACTGCGATTTATATTTCAGGTAGTCAACACATGCAAGTTATTTATGATAAGATAATGATGATTACATTGACAATAATATATTTTTCAGTAGTAGAATCATTATCAGGATGTATAATAATAAGTTGCTGAGATTATAAAATAATCTCCCTGAATTATCAGGTCTATTACTATTTTCAAACATTATTATTATTATTATTATTATTATTATTATTATTATTATTATTATTATTATTATTATTATTATTATTATTATTAGAATATACTGGACTGACAACCGTGCGGCTGACATTAAAATTGAATCATCTGATCTCAATGGTAATAATAGGCGAACGGAAGTGTCACAACCAACATCTGGCGGTGTATTTGACAGTATTTCTGTCGATGAAGTGAGATTTTTTTTTATATCCTGTACTATTTTGATCGCCATCGAACATCGGATTTACATTTGCAGGAAAGCCCACTGCCTCCAATGCATACACATCAGAAAACCTTGGTTCGAATCCTGATTTGAGTGATTTTCTTCGTATTAGGCATATTAATATTAGACTAGTAAAAACATTTAAAAAGAGGCCTAGAAATCAAGTTAAGTGGGAGTGGAATGTTAAAAGCAGTCAGCATAGCTAAAAATCCCTTCTGATCACCCTAAGCCCTGTTTACACTTGATTTTTCGTCTAGTATACAAATAGCGGCCATTTTTCAAATTTACTTAAAATGTACATAAAACTGGAAATAAATAAGCTAGATGTATGATCTTGGTGTCAAAACACATTTACTTGAGGCAAGGAATCCATTAGATTTATAATAAATATGATTATGGTAATAGTTAATTATATTTAGGCTTTCATTTTAAAATGATAACAACTGTTGTTTAAAGATAACAACTCTCTGGTGGCAGGTACAAATCTTTATTAAAACATTACATTTGCAATATCTGTATCTCATCCATTAGCAGCTGAGGCTTTAACATCCCTGTATATTGGTCTTTACACCAACCCTCACCAACTGGTGAACCATATTCTGGCTGTGGATCTCCGGACATGTACCAAACCTTACTTTGAAAGTGGTCCCGTTTGATATGTTGTGCAAGGAACGGTTGTGTTTGTGGAAGATTTCTGAGTTCCTTTGTACCTTCCTGGAACAATTTGAAGCGTAAATCATTAATCAATGTCTCAGTTGTTTCTGGGCAATACAACTTTACAAAACAAATACTTCTACTTTCTTGGTGGTTTCTACTTTAAGAGTACCATGTCCAAGATTTTCAATGAGATTACAGTGTTCCTGGAATGTTTTCCATGATGTTTTTCCCCCACGACCTAGAAACCGACTTACAGTGTTACACTCAGTCAGTGCATGATTTTTCGTATGGAGAGCAGCTTAGCTCAGTCGGCTAATCTGGTGGTAGCCGCTGTGTGTGCGCTGAACCGTGGAGATCTCTAGGTCCACGGTTCAATTCCCATCGCTGCCTCTCCTTGTGTCTCAGCTAGAGGGCTGAAATACAAGTTACAATATCGCACCGTCTTTCGGATGAGACGTTTAAGCCGTTGGTCCCATGTGCATTATGGCCCATGTACACGTTACACTCTTCGGAAAAGAGTAGGGGATTGTCTCCCGGTGTACTGCCCAAACACCACCAGAAGGACCCCACTGGAAATACGTCTTCTAGACTTTCGTGTTCTATCCTTGGTGTTTACACCGAATAAATCCAATCCAATCCAATCTATATTTACAGGTAGAATGACGTCATGAACTGCAACAAAACGTCTTTGCTAAGCAGTTCCTGTTCTAAACCAAATTTCCTGGCTCAGTTGGTTAGCAAAATTCACAAGGAGTACTAGCACATCAGTATCTCTGCAGCAGATTATGAGCCGTTCATATCCACTCTTGCAAGCAGCTAAAGCATGTAAAATGATTCTAGTGTCTGCCTCTTCATGCGTAGACTTTAGAAAAGACACAGTTGTATCATAAGATTAAGCTGCTACTGTTTCATTTAGAAATTCACCTGATGTGATTATTCACCATTAAGCATGGTTTCTCCAGCTTTGGACAATATACTTTCACTAAGGAAATTTGATCTTCTGTTTTTTTCTGGAAGATCTATAAATTGTTTCCATTTGATAGGTCCAAAGTGTGTCCCTTTCTTGTGCTGGAGCATTAATGATAGGTAGATAGCCAGTTGAAGTTACATCCTTCTTATCTTTATTTGTTAGCTAATTAAACCCTGTCCATTAAGGAACACTGAGCCCGGGGTGGGGCGCCCCCCCCCCAATAAATCCGCCCCTGATACAGTTTATGTTTATAACATAACCTACATTACTTTTTCATGGAGTGGGTAATAATAGTTTTGTAGTTCGGCTATACCCAACCTGTAACACCCAGGTCTTGGCCTTCGCCTGTATAAGCCTTGCTTTAGGCCTTAGTCTACATTTATCAGAACTGCTTGCTGGCTAGGCCTTCGTCATTATAACTGACCTGTTTGTTGAAAAAAGGTGGATTAAACAATTGTTCAAGCCATTTATCAATTAATAAACACAAATATAGTACAGTTTGTGTTAACATAGGCATTCTTTATCATAATACAGTAGTAATATTTGTGTAGTTGTCTCTGAAGTACCAGAATATGTATCTATTTACATTGACTGAAAATGTTTATAAAATAACGAAAACGTTTGTTTTGATGTCTGCCCTTCGTAATCTGGCCATATATATCATATTTTGTTTATTAAAATAAGAAAAATGTTTCTTCTACATACGATACTTCTGCTACTCTAATAATAATAAGAATAATAAGAATAATAATAATACACTTAGATATGTAAATATTTTCACCTGGTTTCCGATAGTTGATTCAATAAATATTAACAGTAACAACATAACATTGATTTAATGTAAGAAATTATGTATTGTATTGCATACTATCTGTTTTATAATGCACGAACAATTTTCTGTGCGCTTCACATCGTACAAGATAAGTAAAAGCACAAAGAAATAAAAAAAATACGACAAAATGGCACAACAAAATGAATATGCAGAATCTCTGAAGGGTCACTGTCATCTCGCCAGCTCAATTACTGGGTACAAGTTTGCCCTGCCACAGGCGAACTGGTGCTTATGGATGGTGTCTAAGAAATTCAGTCAGTGCTCAACTTCAGTCATCTCAATTCACAGTTGATCAATTATAGAACTACTGTAAATATTTAGAATAATGTCCCTTTTACCATCATTTAAATTCTGCTTCCTATATTAATTACGTTCTAAAGCACGTCATTGTGTGTAATAATTAATTGCCTGCCTTGTTTGAATCCCAATAATTTTCCTACAATATATGTTTACTTTTTTGTGTACAATTATTTTGTATAATAAAGAATGAATTAATATAGTGATGAGATGGAACAAAATATGTTATACACGTCCTTAAATAAAAAGTACCATTATTGTATTGCAGCAAGACATTTACGATATATTATAATATACCATACATGTTGATGATAGTAAAAATATATCCTATCCATGTACATGACACAGTGGTATATACGCTAGAATTTTAACACTGACAATTTTTTTTAAATAAAATCTATGCTTCAAAGTAGTCATCGTCAGATAATAATAGCAATTGGAAAATTGTCTACTATCTTGTTTTAGTAACAGATATTATCTCTCCATAGGATAACATATTTGTGAGCGTTGTTAACCCTACGATGAAACATATTATTCGTTACTACAGCAAGTCCAATCCTAGTAGAGTAGTGTTCCAACATATCTTGAGTAACGAAATTCGTGTTTTAGATGTATGCGTCAACGGTCCCAACATCCAACCAAAGCCAAAAGCGTGTAAGTAATTGCTTGTCTTAGAATAAGCATGGAGGAACTAATTCCTCCATGGAATAAGCAATTGTTATACTGTTGGAGTATTTAATAGCATCCAACATATGCCTGTTCTCTTCCAGTACCGTGTGATGTACATACATGTAGCCTTTGTGTATCAGCCGACAACGGAAAACACGAATGTATCTGTAAAGATAACTATGTTTTATTTCCAAATGGAACATGCAGTATTGGTTTGTGTATCTTACTTATTTATTATCGAAAACGTCTATATCCCGAAGATATTTTGAAAATAGTTATAAAACTCGCACCTCTTTTGTACCTACGGTAAACCTTTGGTGAACATGATACCATTAATCTAAATTAAACTTTTTTTTTTGGCAGGAATTAAGGAAAATTATGAATATCAACTTTTCGAATTAAAGATAAATTGTATTGTTGTCCAATATTTTCAAAAACTATAAGAATTAAGAACTGGTCCTTATTCTACCGCTCATATATTAAGGACGGCTCGCAATTTCGAACTTTCTTACATTCTTGGTTAATGAAAATGTACCTTTTTAACTAGCGTATTTTATTATTTCTTTTCAGATTCAACAATCTGGTACCCACCGCGCTGCATAATAGGTAGCACGGACGCCATTTCAATGTTTTACCCGAATGTAATTCATAGCTCTTTGGATGATAAACAACAATATATTAAGCGCTTCTTACGTAAAACTAAAAAAATAATTACAGCTGTGACAGTTGACATATACAGTAATTTGTTGTTTTTCGCGGAAGATACGACAAAATCAATAAATGTTATAAGAATTAAAGAAGGCGTATATCCGAGAACGATTCACACTTACACTGGCGGTCGGGTTGATGGTAACTATTTGTGTTTATTATCAAATTAACATTACAGTATACAAAGGAAAAAATGTAAAAAGTGAAAAAGAAAATATTTCTTCTTATTCTGGTCAAAAAGTGCTTATACATTTTCATTTATATTTGATACCTAACAACTTGGAATTATAGCAGGAGAAGTACCTATGGATTTGAATCAGTGACAACAACCTCAATTATCAATGAGCAAGTGTTTTATTAATATATTATTGAATTCATCGTTGGCAAAATTCTGACTTGGTACATCAATAATTATTACATTTTATTGAAAGTTAGTGAGCTTTGATCGTAATACACAAACATAATTAAACAAATTCACACTTCCGTGACCGTTTTGCGTTCTTTACACAAGTATTGGCTCAAATCACGTCCTATAATGTGATAATATAATTGAAACGACGATAAAGCTTTTCACACAACCTCAATTTTGGCGGATATTAATATTCATGCGTTACCACCCATAGGCTAAATCATTTTAAAGAAAGTATGACAAAAAGAAAATATTTTCATAGATTCATTTATTTATTTATTTCAACAGTATTTTGTGAGGGTGGTCCATCGACCCAAAGCTGATCAATTGATACCATCTCATCACATACAATAATAAGACAATAATGGTAGGCAGTTGACTAAGATTTGTATGCACTTCATTTAGGAGAGAATTTCTCAACTGTTATAGACTAGTCAACCCTAGGAATAACATGGGATGTGTGCCAAAATTTCTATCAGGGACAAACAGCCCGAAAATGACCACGCCCCCTTTTTATAGGGTAGGGTATATTTAAATTGAGCTAGACGGTATAAGAAAATAGCAAATGACGGGGTTTTTGTTCTAAATAAGAACACATGACAAGACGATTGAATTCCTAAAATTACGTCTCAGTCACTTTTTCCATTAATATGCAAATTAGCTAGAATATGCAAATTAAGGGTGAGTAAATAGGGTTTCCATGTGCTGAGAACTGCTGGTCGTAACGTGTTGCTTTCTTTTTAAAATTGTTCGGACCATGCATATTTCTATTTGTTCTAATATGAAATTTGCTTACAAAATCACCGCAAATGCCATAATTGACCTTTGACCCTATTTACAAGTTTTCGCTATTCCCATGTCTACTGACTGTAAAAACATGGTTTCGGTCTCAAATTATTCATATATAATTAGTTAATTAGTTAGTTTTACTCACTTTTGGTTCACATTTTTTAAGGCACCTAGACTACAGTTTTGACCTTTGACCTGGCAGGTCACTTTAGTTTTGTGTAGCCTCATAATAGTAGGTCAAATATATTGAATTTGATGTCATATTGTTTAGAAATTGTGATTTTGTCAGAAATTACAAATAACTTGTATTTCCATCAGTCAGCAGCATTTAATCATTGATTGGGTTTTTACAACAATCACTCCACCTTTGCATTAACAGTACTTGCAACACTTTATTCTCGCTCTTCTACAGGGACACACATTTTTGCGAGCACATTTGCCACACGTGCAGGGATCTGGCAGGCCATCAGGTTTCCAGATCACAATATCAGGGACTAATATACTGCCACTCCTTACAAAGCCAAAATCCTCAGCATTGATAATTGATGTGGCATCTCTAAATGGAGCTTGAACCCACAGCTGCTGTTGGTAGTAGCTTCTATAGATATGTTTTCTTGCATTAGTTGATTTACAAGCTGTTCTCCCAAAGTTCATCTTGAGGGTATTGCTATCAAATGCAGCAAGGCGCAGATCGTCAAATATCTCAAGGTCTGTTGATGGTTTAAAACACTTGATCAAAATAGGATGCTTGAAAATACAATTTCTATATAACTAATAAATTACTCACATTCTGCTGCCTATTAGAGGTCTTTTTTTAATATATTTTTCATACCTAATCCTAAAGATATTTGTTGATAGTGTAATTAAAAATAAAATATTGCTCATCATTTTCTGATAATCTGCCAAGATTGATATAAAATTTTACCTTCTAGACAATTTATACCAAAATCAACACTCTCCAACTGTTGTTAAAAAATGCAGATGCAATTGGCCTGCAGGGTCAAAGGCCAGGAACGTAGTTTGTGCATTTTCTGAGTGAACTACAGTGAATTGGAACTTGAATATGCATAGTTTGAAACCAAAACCAACTTTTTTACAGTCAGTAGTCGTGGGAATATGAACAATTTGAAAATAGGGTCAAAGGTCAAATATGGCATTTCCGGTCATTTTTTAAGCAAATATCACATTAAAGCAAATAGAAATATGCATGGTCTGAACAATTTAAAAAGGAAAGGAACTCGCTACGACCAGCGGTTCTCAACACATAGGAACCTTATTTTTTCACTCCTAATTTGCATATTCATGCTAATTTGCATATGAACGGAAAATGTGACTGAGACGTAATTTTAGGAATTACCTTGTCATATATGTTCATTCAGAACCAAAAAACCCCTTTCATTTGCTATTTTCTTATACCGTCTAGCTTAATTTCAAAATACCCCTACCCTATAAAAGGGGGCGTGGTCATTTTCGTGCTGTTCGTCCCGGATAGAGATTTTGGCACACATCCCATGTTATCCCTAGGGTTCATATTAGTCTATAACAGTTGACAAATTCTCTCCTAAATGAAGTTCATACAAATCTTAGTCAGGTCCTAGACTATATTGTTTTTTTTTTTTGTCTTTCGTGGGAGTCACCCACCTTTATTGTCACTCTTTTTTTTAATTGTTTTCATTCATTTTTCCATCTTTAAACTATATTACATTTCAAATAAAAAACGGGTAACTAATATATACATATATAATACTTTTGTCAAAATTAAAGTATTTTTTTTCCATGGTAAAGTAAAGTTTGAAACAAAAAGAAAATAATAAGAGGTGGAAATTCATTAAATTGTATAATAATTAAATCCAAAATATAATCGATTTGTGAAATATGTTTTTGGTAATTCACAGTCAGTATGAC